CTTTCCCAACATCAGGGTCTTTTCCAGGGAGTCTTCTCTTCTCATGAGATGGCCAAAGTATCGGAGCCTCAGCTTTAGGATCTGTCTTTCCAGTGAGCACTCAGGGTTGATATCCTTCAGAATGGGTAGGTTTGATCTCCTTGCAGTCCAGGGGACCTCCAGCACAATTCAAAAGCATCAATTCTTTGGCAGTCAGCCTTCTTTAAGGTCCAACTCTCACTTCCATATACAGTGGGGTCTCTACTTAAGAACTTAATCTGTATTGGAAGGTGGTTCTCAAGTTGAAAAGTTCTTATGTTGAATCTGCATTTCCCATAGGAATGCATTGAAAACCATTTAATCCGTATCTGCTCTTTTCCGTCCATAGAAACTACAGTGGAACCTCTACTTCAGAACTTAACCTGTTTTGGAATGGTGTTCTTAAGTTGAAACGTTCTTAAGTTGAAGCAAAATTTCCCATAGGAATGGACTGAAAACCAATTAATCCGTTCTGGCTGTTTTTTTGTTATGTAGAGGTGCGTTCGTACATTGAAGCATTAGTTCCCATAGGAACTAATGCAAAGCTGGTTAATACGTACTCTACCACTAGGGGGAGAATTTTTTTTTAACCTAAGATGACCTAAGGTTAAAAAAAGAGCAGGAAAGTTTTTTTTTTCCTGTTCTTATCTTGGATTTCTGTTCTCAAGTAGAAGCAAAATTTAGCAAATGGAGCTGTTCTTAAGTTGGATTGTTCTTAAGTAGGGACGTTCTTAAGTAGAGACCCCACTGTATCAGGTCCAGACATGAGTTCAGCACAGAAACCGCCTCACCTGGATTGGTGAAAAACGAGAGGTAGAGCTGAGTGTCGTCAGCATATTGCTGACTCCTCAGCCCAAACCTCCTGATGACCTCTCCCAGCGGTTTCATGTAGATGTTAAACAGCATGGGGGACAGTATCAAGCCCTGAGGAACCCCATGACATGAATGCCATGGGACAGAGCAACTGTCCCCCAGCACCACCCTCTGGACACGGTCAGCCAGGAAGGAGCGGAACCACCGTAAAACAGTGCCCCCAACTCCCAACCCAGCCAGCCTATCCAGAAGGACACCATGGTCGATGGTGTTGAAAGCCGCTGAGAGGTCCAGGAGTATCACCAGGGTCACACTCCCCCTGTCTCTCTCCCGGCAAAGGTCATCATACAGGGCGACCAAGGCTGTCTCTGTACCAAAACCCGGCCTGAAACCCGATTGAAATGGATCCAGAAAATCCGTTTCATCCAGCAGCACAGTTGTTTTAGTTAATTGTAATTAACTAAAACAACTACTCATATGAAAATTCCTTAATTTCAAAATAACTTAAGACAAAGATTTAATTGTAGCCATCTATGTTTTGCGAAACACTGATAGGCATAAAATCTAAAGCTATGAATATAAATAGGTAATTTTATTAAAGAAGTATTCTATTTGCCTGCTTTTTACACTTTTAAATTTTTTTTAGAAACTCTATTTTTACTTTTAAATTATTTTCTTAAATAACTTACATGTAAGTCACTTGCATTCTGTATTTAGAGCTTAAATGCTAGGTCCCGAGTACCATGTCTCATCCCTCATAATATGTGGGACAGTTTAATAAAATAAATTGTAGTAGGTAGGACATTCTAGCAGCTTAAACAGCCAGATGGTAGCAGTACATTTACATGTACATGTCTGTAACTTGGACCCTTTGAGGGAGTAAGGAAACAGCTGCATAGCCTCAGTACTCTGAAGGTTATGGACAGTATTTATGATCAACCCTAAGCACAGGATGTTGACATAGACAAAGTTCATACTCTTTCTTTCTTTCTTTCTTCAAAACAGACTGTTGCACAATTTAAAATTATGGATATATATGAAATATAATAAAATTAAAACAAATTAAAATGGTAAGATAGACTATTTTTGACCAAAAGTGGGCTACTTAGCAGCATTTTGGTCATTTGCAAGATCTTCTTTTGGACTATTTTTGACCAAAAGTGGGCTACTTCGATAGCAGCATTTCGGTCATTTGCAAGATCTTCTTTTATATACATGATGGGGCATAAATTGCATGCACATAAGTGCCACATTGATTGAATTTCTCCACAATCACAGAAAAATTGTCGTGTATTCAAGTAGCCCCATTTTACTTGATTATTCTTTGATATTCCAACTTGGCTTTGAAATCTATTAAGTGACTTCCAGATGGTCTAGCTACAGTCTTGTTCTGTTGGTATACACTCTTCCAACAATCATCCATTTGGCAAAAAACTAAGAGGTTCCTCCCCCCATAGGTTTAGCCTAGCCTTTTCCGGTTTAATTCAACAAAGAATTTTTGGTTTTGAAACAGAAAGGTGACAATTTCTGTTAGTCCATGATCTTTAGTAAGGAGCCAGAGCTTTTTGAGCAGCAGTTGATTGTGGACAGTATCATATACTGCTGTAAGGTTGACAAATGCTTCTCCACTTATTTTATGTGTTTCAAAACTATCTTCTATAAGTTGGGTTGCCATATAGCTCTTGCTAGGTCTGCCTGTTTTGAAATTATAAGAGTTTCAATTTTAGGGGCCAGATGGTTTAATATCATTAATTCAAACAGTATATATAAAATACAGAGTAGGGAGATTGGCCTATAGCTTTTGGGGTCTGGTAGTTCTTTGCCTGGTTTCAGTATAGCAATTATTTTAGTCTTCCGCCATATTTTCGGAATTTATTTGCTCATCCAGCAGCTGGTAAAGAATTATCTCTTCAATAACTAAGTTTTCACTTTTTAAAATTTTTATTCTTTATTTGCATTAGCCCCAAGAGGGAAATGTTGTTTCTATTTTCCCTCTGTAGCATTTAATAGAAACCACAAGGCTTAAGGCTTTTTGGTGACTCAGCAATTCATTGTACACATTGAAACGCTTTAAGTATGAAAAATTAAGCATAATGCGTGGAAAAAAATGGGAGTAACCTTGGTTCTTTGACTATCCCTATCCCACTGCTCTAATCCAAAACATAAACAGCTTGGCAAGAATTCCACTGTACACAAGCTAGCTGCTTCATTTCTGAATTTATTAGAGAAACAGCCGATAGATTTTACTCAGGCAAAATCTCTACTTTCCTGACAAGGATACAAATACTTGGAACATGTGGTTATGGATACAGTATTTACTTGTTGAGAAACATTCCTGACAATTGGTTTGTGTTTGGGTAAGTGGTTAATTGATGAAAAACCAAGTCCGTTTCTGGGATGTTCCCTTTTGTGGTGTGAACAGTAGTGAGCACAAGACAGTATCCAGTAGACATCTTGACTGCTGCCATTGGTGTTGTCAACATTGAGGCTGTCCTTTGTTATGTAAAGCTCAGCATCTCCTCTCCCCGCTATGTGACCATTGTATCCTGCAGCAATATCAAGCCATTTCCTGGCATTTTGAAATGTTGATACAGAAACCCAGTATCTCACATTCATAAACTGGAGACTTTTTGAAGAACAAGCTTCACTAGCAACTTGATGGGTGGCTGGTTCCATTAATTTTTCCAAATCCTTTTAAAACACCCTTTGCATCTCCATCTCATGTCAAAAACGTTCAAAGAGTTAGGTAGCTGTATTAATCTTTCTTTCTTTCTTTTTTTTTTTGGCCTGCAGAACAAAACCAACACAATCATAAAAGCAAAACGATGGCGGCACCTTAAAAGTCTAAAGAGATTTGTGTCAGTGGGTGCCTTTCAATGGACTGCAATCCCTTTTAGCAGGCGAATTGTAATCCAGGACGAACATCCCTATGGGTTTCATTTTTTGCTATACATTTTCACGTCAGTCCACCAAACCCCTCGCTAGCAAAGGAAAAACAACAC